TGTTCTATAAATTGATAGGTGTTAGAACAGTCCATTTCTTTCTACATGATATGAGACAAAGTTATTAAAATCTGAAAAATAAAATAAAAAATCAACTTATTTTTTTCACATTCCATATGGATACTTTTAATAATAGAAAGTCTATGGAGATAAATAAAGACCTTCACTGTTATAATTCTAAAGTGTTTTGAAAAACCTGAACTATAAAATAGCATCAAGATTTCTCTTATAGCCCACAGTACTTTCCAGCCTTTTTTAGCAAATGCTAAAAAGATGAAATTTTCCTAATCCCAGAAGTAAAAAGTCATAAGAATTTCACAATCAGCCTTATGAGATAGTCCAGATAGGAGCATGCCCTGATAAACTATTAAACTTACTTTTTTTGTAAGATTACAATAACATAATATTGTAATATTGTACATCTCTTTCTCTGTCACCTTTGTAGCTCAGGAAAATAGAGACTGTCCCTACTGAGGCTTTTGCTATCACCACATTCCTTCTGCAGCTAAGCTGCTTCTTATTCAACCATTTTCCTGGTTGTGGCTCCTCCTCTGTATTCCAAGGTCCCACATACCACTAAATCCACACATGAAAGTTTTTATACATTTTCTGTGGATCACCCGAAATGGAAATTACTAACAAGTCCTAGTTTAGGTTTTTAACATGGCAGTAAACAAGAAAGATTTGAAATATTTACTTTATAAATAAAGTTTTGACTAAAAAAGAAATCGTCCCTTCACAATTACATCCAATGGCTAATGTAAAGAGCCCTGGTGGCACAGTGGTTAGAATGCAGTATTGCAAGCTATTTTGCTGACTGCCGGCTGCCAGCAGTTCAGCATTTCAATTCTCACCAGCTTAAGGTTGATTCAACCTTCCACCCGTCCAAGATTGGTAAAATGAGGAGCCAGATTTGTTGGAGGCAATATGCTGACTTCGTAAAGTGCTTAGAGAGGGCTGTAAAGCACTGTGAAGCAGTATATAAGTCTAAGTGCTATTGGTATTATGTATTAAAATCTAAGAATACAAAGGTTTGAAGAAACCATGGACATTATCTTCTACACACACACACATACACACACACACACCTGCCCAGGGCAGGAATCACTATTGACTGTATCAATAATAGATCCAGTTGATACTAATTTCTGGGAGAGGCATGGAACTAAGCATATCTCTGAAAGCGTGAAGACAATGGTTGCAGCAAAGAGTGAAGGCCTGGTGAGTAGACTGATTCTTCAGAACCACTCTGGATAAGGAAAGGACAAGATATTAATTACATATGCACCAGACAGTTGGTCCTTGTGAAAATATTCCAGGTCAGTAGTTTGAGTACCAGTTGAAGGCACCAGCCATCATGCTTACAACTGCATTGTGGCTTTTTAAAGGACACTCTGTTCATCAATCTCACTTTCTAAACACTTTCAGAAATTGCCTATTTAACTATCTTAACACTATTAGAGATTTTCAGAATGGTGAGTTGAAAAGCTGCCTGGTGAGTGAGTTTACTTCCATTCATAAACAAAAGAAAAATTAACCATAAGTTTAGAATTTTAAAAAGTTGGAAATAAATGATTAAAAAGTTAAATACATAAGACTTTGATTCAAGAAAGGTATAAATGAATTAAGAATCCAAACAAATTTGGAATATTGAAACTTTTACTATAACTTGGAATTAAATATATAAAATAAAGAGCTTTTTGTGGAAAGAAAATTGTTTTATCTATCTTAAATAATAAGAAAGATTTGACACTTTATGATTTAAGAAACTGGATAAAGAGGGAATTAAAGCTTCCAAGCAAAAAAGGAAAATAAGTTAAAAGTGTAAACTTGTCCTTTGGGTTCTGATTAGTATGTGATATTTACAAAACAACATTAAAACATTGAAAATATTCCAGATTTTTAAAAAATGAGGCCAGAAATTAGCCACTACAATGTCAGAATGATGTCTGCTTCTATAGATAAACTATGACCAAAAATGTTAATGAAGGAATGACAGATGTGAAACAAATTTTGTCTGATGTAAAAATATTAGAACCAGAAAAAATAGATAACAAAAAAAATGTGGGTTGTAAGACAAAGAAGGCAGCTTGGAACAGAAGAACAAATGTCAAGCCAAGAGAATGACTTGGATAAGGACTTTCTACTGCACATACAAAAGATGTTGGTTGAAGTTTTGACATTCAAAGTGAAAATACAAATAATAAACCAAGAGAATAACCTGGATAATCACTTTTTACTAGACTTACAAAAGCTCCCACGAAATGGGGGAAAGCTCCCCTTTGAGATGGGAAAAAGAAAAATTAAAGAAAGGCCAAATCCTGTGACACCATATGTCAGCTTTGGAAGCCATATTAGCACCGGAAGCTTCCACGCTGCCACTTTCTTGTGTGTGGGAAAGTAGGAAGGAGGATTTAGTAGAGGGAATGCAGTTAGACAAAGTAGTATTCTTTTTGGTCAAGATTATGACAGTCCTGCAACTGGAGAAGAAGTGGTTGGACTGATGTCTGGAGATGGCATGGATGATGATTGGACCATGTGATGGACTGATGGGTGCAGGGGATGGATTTGGGGGTTTTGATTTACTGAGGGAAAACCCGGAACTCTCAGATTTGGGTTTTCCCAGATGTTCCAGTATACCTACTCTAATAAATAGAACTTTGAGAAAATGCTTGTCTCAAGAGTTTTTAATTGGAGTTGGGTTTTTCTGGAACGCTGACACCATATGAATGAATTTCAAGTCAAGATTGTCAGAAGAAAAGTATATAAAGTTAGTTTGTTTGATTGAGATCAAGATAATATGTGTCTCTATGAAGTTCTGGTAACCTTTTGTGGACTTTTTGCTGAAACCAAGACCAAAACATTTATGATCTATGGACTTGTATATAGATAAGGGATGGTTTATAGGAAGAAGACATATTTGTAATCTTAAAAGAGTAAAAAGTTATTAAGTTTGCTTATACTTGTGATGAATATCAGAAGTAACTTTATATATTTCTTTTCTTTATCTTACTTTCTTCCTTTGCTTTTTTCTTTCTTTGCAGTTTTTATTCTTTCTATTTGTCCTCCTCTCTCTGAGTTTAGTTTGTATTTGCGTTTACTATTGTAATTAAAATAGTCAATAAAAAGTATAAAAGTAGATGCAGTTTACCATAGCATAATATCATCAACATCACTGTAAAGATAAATACATTGTATATCCAATTCTTAAATCAGCTTCTGACTAGAGTTCTACACACTTTTTCCTTTACTTTGAAATAACCTCTTAGACCCAATACTTATTTCCAGCATATTTGGTGGAACATATAGCTTTTTCATATCATCCAAACGCTATTTAACTGCTCTTCTTTCATCATGTACTGCCTATAATGAGAGCCATCTTGCAGAAACCAGGAAACCATGAGTTCTATTCCCACATTAGGCATTAAGCCAACTGGGTGACCTTAGACCAGTTACTGCCGCTCAGCCCTAGAAAGGAAGCAATGGCAAACCACTTGTGAAAAACCCTGCCAAGGAAATTGCAGGGACTTTTCCAGGCAGGCACCAAGAGTCAACCCTGATCTGAAGGCCCTATATATATGTATATATGTATATGTGTGTATGTATGTATGTATGTATGTATATGTATATGTATATGTATATGTATATGTATATGTATGTATATATAAAACCACATGTATATACAATTATTGTAACAATTATTTCCTATAGTAATTATAAGAGTTTCAAACTACATAAAATAAGAATTGCTCCAATAGCACAAAGTTCTAGTGTAACATCCCTTTCTAAAAAGCATTAAAATAGATTTTACCTGGATTCACCCAACACTATGAAGTGTAAACTATGATTAAGTAACCAACCAAAACATGTTGGAGCATGTTGAACGAACCAAATCATCGGACTAAGACATAATTGGTGTTTGCTTCTTAAGGTTTAGCATGCATGAAGACTGCTAGTATGAACTGTTAACTATGATTAACTATAGTTCCGCCTATGGGCCAAACACTGTCTTTTTATGGGAATGGCCATAGCCAAGCAAGAAACGGTCTGCCAACATTACAGCCAAACTGCTAAGGCTTCCACATAAAGGTTGCAATACAGTTAAAGGAACCCTTAATTTATCAGTTTCTTAGTTACTTGCAACTTTAACCTACAGAGGACAGAAATTAGTGGCAACTGAATAGCAGGTGAGTTAAGGAATCCCTTGATAAATTGTACTGTGCATTATAACAACCTTCCTTCTTCCTCCCCCCCCCCCAAACCCAGCAATTATCTGTTAATTACACAGTGCCATAACGTCATGGTTACAACCCAGTGCCACTAGCTGGAACAATACACTCAAAGTGCCAGTGTTTTGAAAGTCATCTGATTTGGGGTGACTAAGAGAAGCGGCTTCACTCCCATCTGACCAAATGTCAAGTCACTGGTCCATAGGCAAGGTCTGCCAGAAAAGCCCCGTTTAAGGAAAGCTGGGAAAAGGGAAGGGAAGAGGAGCCGTTTCCACCTGCTGGGGGAGGGGTGGCCTCAGTCACCCGAGGGTTTAAGACTAGCCCAGGGCTTGATTTAGGTATGCAAAAAAGGCAAGTCAGGGTTGCGGAGGAGGGGAAGCATCCTTTTCTTTTCTAGCTGATGTCTTTCAAAAGTTTGGGGAGGGGGGGGAGGAAGTGCACCGAGAAGAGACGAAGAGGAGGGGGCGGGTATCTACTACATAGCCCCGGAGTGCGTCAGGGCCCGGCGCGCAAGCATATCACCTCCCCCCCCTCCCCAACCCGTAACTCAACGCTACGAAATCTCTCAGGGTCCCCAACAAGCCTTGCGAGAAGCTCCGCTCTGAGGCTGGCAGGCGCCTTCTCCTCCTCCTCCTCCTCCTCCTCCTCCTCCTGCAAACCCACCTTAGCCTGCCTTCCCTTCCCTTCCCCCTCTCGGGTGGTCGCCGGGCAAACTTCTCCCCCGGACCGGGTGTGTTGCGCGGACGGGCGCGAGGGAAACCCCGGGCTTACCTCCTTCTGCTTGGGGTCTTGAGGATAGACGTCGGGCGGCCCCAGACGGCACCGTTTGAGAGGTCTCTGCTCATAGCTCAGGAGCCCGAAGGCGGCCATGATCTCTCATGTTAGCCGGCGAAATGAATGAGAGAGTGAGAGAGAGAGAGAGAGAGGAGTTGGAGATGGAGCAGCCTCTGAGCACCAGGGAGCAGCACTTGGCTGGCAGACAGACTCCCCCCTCTGGGTCTGGCTCTTTTCCTACGTGGGAGACATACATAGAGACGTACGCCGGGAGAGCAAAGGGCGGCTAGGATGCGGCAGGATTGCAACCCAACCCGCCCACAGAGGCAAATGTCACAAACACACACATACACACACCTCACACGCGCAGACAAACGTCCCTGGAGAGCTGAGAAGGGGCGGGGGAGGGGGGGGGGGGGGGGGGAGGTGTTTGACAAGAAGGACCAGACGAGGGGGTGAAAATGGATAGAGAGGTCAGGGAGAAAAGACCCCTGTTCCTCCCCCCACCCCCAAGAGATGAATCTTTCCTTCCCAATAGTTGCAGGATTTCTTCCTTCTCTTGCCCTAGGCCAAATTTCACAGAGATATATTTAAAGGCTTTTTTTAAAAAAAAAAGCACACACACACATACACAGAGAGATGTAGTAGTTCCCATGACAGCTGACACCACTGCCCTTGCCCCAGTAGCACATGAGGTTTCAAAGTTCCAAGTTCAAATGTCTTCCACAGAAAGATCACTACCTCTGATCTAAAGTAGGTTATCATACCCAATGTCATGCCCAGTATGGCTACGGTGGGCTAAGTGAATTTCCATCTTTCCTATAAATTGGAGGCGAGAGAGTAAAATCAATCTAACTGATCTTGACTATAACTTGCCTTAACCAGGCTATCTCAACCATATCCGTTCCTTAATTAAATGTATTGACTGGCGGAATGTGTTAGCATGTGTTGCTTTTGGACTCGCATGACAAATTAGCATTGCTTTTTTTTTCCCTTCCTACACTGGAAGATTATAGAGAGAAACTACTTAATGGAAATCAAAAGGTGATACAAGGTATTTAAGGAATATTACGTAAACTATGTTAATTAGTTTTGAGTGTTTACTTACAGAAGTTCCAGTGAGGCCTTTGTAAATCTGTATCCGCTACATCACTGCAACAAAAATATATGATGCAATCAAATAGTTAATCAATGCCCAGGACACAGGAGATCCTAAAAGGAAAGATTTGTTCTCTTGGCAACCAACCAGCCACTCCAACATTGTAGCTGCCTTGGCTAGTGGCTCTAAACAGCAGCACAAGAAATGCAGCGTCCTCCATGGCTCTACACTAGTACACCACCAAACTTGCAAAGCTTTCATCGTTGTTCATACTGCCTTCCCAGAGAAATGGCATAGATCAGCCAGAACTGGGAAAGGAAGAGGCTTAAGGGGCATCTTCCTCTCTGTGACCCTTTGTTTGCCATGCCCGAAAGCATCAATTTGCAGAAGGCAGATTTAAGGCCTTGTATTCTCCAAATCTCCAAAAAAAGAAATCAAGAAAAATGAGATGAGAATTCCATAATGGAATTCCTTTCTGGAGAATTTAAGGAGAAAGAATCTCACCAGTGTGTGTTTGGGTAACACCATAACAGGGTAGTTTAGTATTGGTAAGACATTTCACAAGCTGTCTACTATGTGAGAGCAAAATGCCAAATGTGTATTTGTGTGTTCATTTGTTTGTTTATTCATCTATTCTAGGTTGCCCAATTTCAAAACAACTCTGGGCAGCTTCATGATTAAGGGAAAACAAAAGAAAAGCAACACTATATAAAAAGAAAAACAGTCACTCCAGAGGAACAAACAAACATTCCCTTCAAATGCCTCAAGTTCCAAGGGGAAAGGATCAAGTTGTTTAGAGTTTCTTTAAGACAGGTAGGTTATTAGCCTGCCCCCAAATTTAAAAGCGGTTTAGGTCCTATCTATATCTATGCCCACTATGGAGAACCCAGACAACTCATCTATTTTCCTGTAGGCCTAAATGATAAATCATCAGCAGGGCCGTGGGTGAAAGATTACTGCTTCCTGGCCATAAAGATAGTTGGAGAAGTAACTATTTTTAGAACAAGTGCTGCAAAAGGTGAAACATCCTCCACCCTGATCCTTTCAGTAATTCTCTCTTAAAACTAGAAAGAGGATCCCCCCCCCCCCGCCCAGCATTCATCCATTCTACTTTTCTACAGTTATTATTTCCATTGCGCCATGGGGAGATAGAACCCAAATCTTCATCAGTGGGATATGCTTTCAGATATATTGCCTCCGTTTCTGGGTGATAAGTTTTGGGAAGGAATTCAGACAAATTAGAGCAAGTTCAGAGAAGGTCAATGAATATGATCAAATGACCAACAACAACTTGTGCAGAATGATTGTAAAAGCAGAGCATGTTTAAGCCGTGACAAGAGAAGATATTTGAAAAAGTATCTTCTCTGCTATTCTAAACTACAGGACATGAAATAAACACTAAGAACCGATGGAAGACACTGAAATGGTGGATACCTTTTATGACCATCCATCAACAGAAAAAGGAAGAAGCACTAAAGAAATATGCCTCAGACTAACACTTGAAAGATGTGAAAGCCTTGGAAAAGATATTCAACTGTCATGAAGCGTCTATATACCTACAAAGATCACAATCATGATAGGCATTCCCTGTGACATACATAGATATTTCCCTCTATGGAAATGAAAGTTGGACTCTTGAGCAGCAGATAAGAAGAGCATTGACTCTTTGGAATTTTGGTGCAGGAGAAGACTTCTCAGAAAGCCATGGACAGCCAAGAAAAGAAATGATCTGATGATGATACCTAGCTTTAATAATGAACCATCTGCAGGAAAATAACAGCACAGAAAGCACCGAGGGCCTCTCAAAGAAATGATCAAACAAATCAAACTAGAGTTCTCACTCAAGGCACAAATGACAAGGCTTAAATTATTCTACATGTTATGCAAAGACCTAGATCCCTAGAAAATGCTCTAATGCTGAGAAAGATGGAAAGAAAGAGAAGAGAATGACCAGCAACAAGGAGGATGGATTCGCTTATAATGGCAGCGGCTGCCCCATCAAAAGACTTACTCTAAAAGATCAAGTTAGTGCCATATTGTCCAGTGGTGGGTTTCAAAAAATTTTTACAACCAGTTCTATGGGTGTGGCTTGGTGGGCATGGCATGGCTTGGTGGGCGTGGCTTGATAGGCATGGCAGGCGAAGGATACTGTAAAATTTCCATTCCCTCCCCAATCCAGGGGAAGGATACTGTAAAATCTCCATTCCCTCCCCAATCCAGGGAAAGGTTACTGCAAAATCTCCATTTCCTCCTGATCAGCTGAGACTTGGGAGGCAGAGAATAGACGGGAGCGAGGCCAGTCAGAATTTTTATTACTGGTTCTCTGAACTACTCAAAATTTAGGTCTAAATGTGTGGTCCACATCTGAATAACCAACCACATTCTTCTTGGAACAGGGTAATTATCTGGCTAATATTTAAGGAAATTGAAATCCAATGCAGGTGAAGGTCATTTTATTATTTATTTATTTATTTATTTATTTATTTAATTTGTATACCACCCTTCTCCCAGAAGGGACTCAGGGCGGTGAACAGCCAAAATTAAAAAACATACAAATACAAAAGTTAAGATAATTAAAAAGAATTAAATCACTAGCTTCCCAATTTAAAACCCCCAAATCCATAAAATTTAAAATCCCAATTTAAAAACCATTTAGGCTAGGCTGGCTTGATCGAATAAAAACGTCTTCAGGGCTTTACAGAAGGTCTGGAGGTCCGGGATCAATCGTATTCCAGGAGGCAGCTCATTCCACAGGGCCGGTGCCCCCACAGAAAAGGCTCTCCCCCTGGGGGCCGCCAGCCGACATTGCCTGACCGATGGCACCCTGAGGAGGCCCTCTCTGTGAGAGCGTATTGGCCGGTGGGAGGTTATCGGTAGCAGCAGGCGGTCTTGCAAATACCCTGGCCCTAAGCCATGGAGCGCTTTAAAGATGAGAACCAACACCTTAAAGCGCACCCGGAAGACCACCAGGAGCCAATGCAGCTCACGCAGGAGAGGTGTTATGTGGGAGCGCCACGTTACTCCCACAATCACCCGCGCGGCCGCATTCTGCACCAGCTGGAGCCTCCGGGTGCTCCTCAGGGGGAGCCCCATGTAGAGAGCATTGCAGTAGCATTGTTCTACATATGACCTGTAAATGAAGCTAATTAACAGACACTACCAACGACAAATTTTATTATTTTGGAAAACCCCTGATATAATCTTACTATGATCCAAATCAGAAAAATAATACTTACTGATTATGCCGAAGCATACTCCCAATCTGTGCTTGGCTTCTTTGATGTCAGTCCCTGTTCTCAGGTGATCTCTCTCAGCCAATTGTTATACAGAATTTGTAACTGAATGGTAACTATGCAATCCTTATAGAAATTGAAAATTATAATGCAAAAAAAAAAAAAAACCCAACTGAGGAAAACTATAATTCTGGGTCATAAAATGCCAACTTTCTTGTTGCAAGGACTACATCAGATAGTATCAATGATCCTGAGACTAGACCTCACTATTACTATCCCAAGGCTAGGTGCCAACAGCTTCACTTGTCCCCAAGTGAAAGGGTCACAGATCCAGAAAATAAAAGTGTGATTTAAACCTTCCTTTTGCTTTATATGGTTTGCTTTTTACATTTTCCAATGGTAAAGTTTTCCATCAACAACATTTCTAGTATCTGTATTAAAACTAGATTATCAGGAGAGAGTTCTTGAATCTCTGCCTGTGAAACCTCTGGTACCAGCATTGGTCCATAAGAAGCCTAACAATGCCTGAAATAATTTTATACCAGAATATATGTGGACAAGAAACATAGGCTGCAAAAAAATATATGTATGTATGCTTGTCAATTACTCAAAAAAAAAAAAGAATAAGATGAAATGATCATATTGCAGGCCACACCAAACTGCTACCACAAAATATATTAAATTCCACATCTGAATAGTTGTTTGTCTTTTTTTATTATGGTTGTTCACAAAATCAGCCAGATGTTTAGACTGGGTTTGGCATTTTCATCCATCTGTTCAGTCTTTTCCAAGGACCTGGGATAGGCAGATTTTGTTGTTTGATGATATTAAGGTTTTATTACTATAATTATTTCAGAATCAAGGTTAATAAGTTAATAAAAATAATCATATCTTTGACAGGTATTTTTGTAAATTCAGATGCCAGTCAGGAAGCTAGGAGTTATCCATATAATGTAATTATAACATAAACAAAAATGAGAAAGCACATATATAG